CTGCACGCCAAGCCAATTGAGTTAAAGGTTACAACACCAAGTGCTTGGCAATCAACTTTACTCGCCAAATCTGTTGTAATGCTTGCATATTCAAAGCTCAAGTATCTGTCTTTAGACTATCTTGAGTAACCTGACCACAGCATATTTGAATTTTATATAATGTGCATGTATAAACTACGCAGTTCACACATAGAACAGAACAATGGTGAATCGAATCACAGTCACTTGATGCGCCCATAACAATCGTGCTGGTTCTCATCGCATTCTACGCCATGCAGTTGTTTCTTATTTCGATTGATCATAACGTCTCTCAGCTGTGACGATTTATCGCCGCTTTCATCATTCGACTCCGTATCATCCAACAGCTTCATGCAGATAACTTTCATGAAATTCTTTCTTCAACTAAATGACTCAGAAATGGATGAAATTACCAATGAAAATCTAAAGATTGCAATCTTTAGATTTTCATTGGTATCAAAATAACTTTGTATTTCGCAGGTGACGGCTTGCGATGGTGCGACACTCTCAAATCATAAAAATGCTCGAAACAAAATGTTTATTTTAATTAAGCACAACTTTTTACGGTATGCTTGAAATGTACCTCTATGTATTCCCCTTTCTCCAAGTATACCTCAATTCCGTGAAAAATCCTTCCAGACACTCTTACTAAACTAATAACGACCAAAGTAGTGCGTAATTGTCCACTCGTAGAGCTAGGAAACCCCTTTCGCTACCTCTTCAGACGGATATTGATGAGTACGAGGTATTATTAGTGCCTACCCACTAACCCTCAGTAGATATTCGCTTTCATTGTGAGAAGTCCAAGCAACAAATTCAATCCGCAGATAACTTTCAAGAAATTCTTTCTTCAACTAAATGACTCAGAAATGAATAAAATTTTGCATTTTTTAAATGGTTCTTAAAGGTTCTTCTTGCTTTTGAAAATTTCTGGTGTTTGTCATCTTGATGGATTTGCTTGAGATCTCCTTTGAAATTTGAAAACCATGTACTTTGCAATGGTTTCTTGGCCATTTCCGTCTGAGCACTAATCGTTAGCAGAGCTCAAAATGGAAAAAGAAGGGTCTCTTTAGGTTTGGTCAGAGAAAAGCGCCAAAAATTTGGAAATGTGTAGAATCTGAAATTTTCAGGACGTGCGTTTCGTAACCTGCTGTTTCCAAGAGAATTTATGCTAGTCATCTTTGCCAAGACTTATGGTGTCCTCGAGTTCACTTGGAAAGCGAAATTAATTATCTCGGCCTTTTCTAATGAAAAATTGCGAATGTCCGCATGAACTTTCGACCAGCGCAATTTTCCTCAAGTAAAAAGTAGGCCGAAATTTTTTGCTTTTTTGCAACGTTCCATGTTTTTGGCGATTTCATTTGGAATGCTTGAAGATGTGTGGTCTCCTTCTTCCACTTGTATCCCTCTTGTGACCTTCAATACTCTGACCGGTATACCAAAAAATTTCTTTTTCTTATGAGATTTATATGGCGCAATTTCGTTTAGATAGCGAAAGGCTACGAGGTTTTGAATATGACATGACAAAACATCAGGATGGTCTACGTTTATAATTGCTATTCATTTTTTGCGGCTCTTCATGCAACACATACTTCCTCTGTTTACGTCACTAAAAAATTCTATATTCTATTTTTTCGAGAACCCAGAGTACCTTCCATTATCTCGGAGTTTTTCCATGCCATGTGATTCTGCATTCCTTCTAACCAGTTCTTGGTTGTTTGCTCTTATTTTGTTGATCGCGGTGGCATTTTTGTGGCATTTAAGTGCATTGTTACTCGTAAACACGCAAACATGTATTTAATCTCGGGGTCAAACACAATTCTTATGCCACTTAAAGTCTCAGAGAGGTAAAAAAAATACTACCGAGTTGTTTTCTGATTTTTTCACAAAATGGTAATAAATAGAAGGAGACTTTCTCGATCTTAGACCAAAGATAATTGGTCTTTTTAACCCACCAAAAAAAAGGTCCCCTCTTGTTGGAATTTTCTTTTCATTTTCTATCTTTGGATGGTGACAATGTTGTCAGTATAATACAGCCGAAATCCTTTGAGCTTTTATGCTCTTTCCACTTGATTTTTTGTATATGGTCCCTAAAACTCCTATTTTTTCTATGAAACTGCCCATGGAAACAATTTCCAATATTTCTTTGACCAGTTAGAGAACGAGGAAATTTTCCCATTTGAGATTGCAGCCCTCTATCAGATCTCATCTGTTCTTCCAATCACGGTCCAGTCCACAAGTGTCTTCAGAGTGCACTCGCGTTCGTTTTTTGCCAAGTTTCCGTTTACGTTTCCCATGCGTGTTTGCTTGTCCACTTCAAGAAATTTTTCGGCCCTAGAGATGGGTGATCTTCAGTTCCTATTTTTGCCTAGCTGGTTGCAAACGTCTGACTGTGATTCTCTTAGGAAACTCATTTTCTTGGAGCTTCTCATTTCCATTCATTCCTTCTTATAGATGGGCTAATGCTGATGGATAGAGATTATTTGCCTTTCTTATTTGCCTTGAGAATCTCTAATTAAATAATTCCAAGTTTACCTTATGAACTTTTTCTTACGAAAGCCGCTGCTCTCTCGATAAAGTTAGTCTAAGTGCATTAACTAACAATAAGTCCAATCTTTAATGTGTGAACATTGTGAGCGCATCTCTGTCTGAATTTTTTAAAGTTGTCTATAGTTTTTAAATTGAATTTTCTTTTCATAGTGAGACTTAAAGTTACGTTTTGACAAGGAGCAAACTTCAAAGATTGATTCACAAACTTTTCAAAATTTGGCAAGCTTTAGTTTGAAGCAAATAATTAAATATTAAGTTAACACTGAAATTAACATTTTCCTTGATTTTTACGGATCTCGTTCTTGCTCAGGCTTAAAAAAAGTCCACACATCTGATGATCTTATCGCAAATAAGTTACAATAAGTGTGAAATAGATTTGGCATCAGTCTCAAAATGCGTCTTCGGGGATGTTGATTGAATGGCCAATGCTAGCAAACTGCCCTTGCCTATTTTATTTTTTTGTGATAGCTAAACAAGTTGTTTCATTTGATTTTCTCGTATGGAGGTCCCACGAAGAAGTCTAGCGAATTTAGCTTTGTGCGCTTGCTTGCGATTCTGAAAATTTTTAGCTGTAAAAAAGTTCAGGCACTAGATTTTCAGAAACTGGGCTCGATGATGGGTTTAAGCTACCAAATCAATAAGTTAATCAGTCAACCTTTCTAGCTCAAAGTAGAATCCCAGAATAAAGGTTAATCATGCCCTATTGACTGCATAAACTTGAAGCCTTCATTATTCAGTGATGAAGTAAGCACATTTAGCACCTGCACGGCTGATGTCAGCGCTTGCACCTCCCAACAACAATAGCGCAATCAGCGTAAAGAGCATCAGCTCATATAATCCCTCCTTCAATCTCTTTTTCACAAAAAAAAGTCACTTTGACAAATCAGAGCTGACCCATCTTGCTAGGCCTTTGGGAAATCAGTTTAAGAGTGCAGTGAATTTTTCAACTATTCTAAGATATTCAACTTTTGGCCTGTCAGATCCCTTCAAAATCCGGGCTTTGAAGGCTGCGTCCCGGCAAAAATTTCGAGTTCCAGTTTTTCACGTAATTGAAACGTTCTCGCCATGAGGAACCCAAACCTGGCTTTTCAGCGCATGGAAATGGCGTAAATTAAATTTTTTCGAGGCTTTTCAGGTTCGCAAATACGCCCACCGGAAGTCTTCTGCATCTCGCCTACTCTTTCTGGAACCCCACCCATTTATGCGTATTCTCCCCTGAATGCGGACCTGAAAAGCTTCGGAAAAAGCTCATTTTTCACCATTTTTATGCTTTGAAAAGCTTACAAATAGATTCCTCAGGAGGCTCCGAGAAGGTGAAAAACTGGAAAACGAAATATTGCCGAAGCATTGCCTCTGAGGGAAAGAAAACCCCCTGCCATGAGATTCAGGAATTTTTTGGTTTGACAAATGTTCACTCTGACGCTGTATTTTTTCGCAAAGGAAAAAGCCGCCTCATTTATTTTTGGTGTCGAACTTTTGACACCACTCGCTCATCGTAAAAAAGCAGCTCTAGGGATTACTTTAGAGGAGCTTCAGTGAAAGTTCTTGGAAGACTATACAGCTCATGAAATTAAGAACTTGTGAGTGATTCTAGCCGAGACTGCTTCTTTTCCTCAGATTTGAGACGTTTAAGGAAAAATTTATCTGTGTGATTGATTATCTTACTCATCTATTGTTATTACTAATCCTAAACTATTCATGATGCAACTTTCATTTATCCTTAATGTGAAGTCTGCTATATATTCTCTTCTGAATTATTGTATACGTCATAAGAACAGTAATCACCGTGAGCTACATTTTTGTGCAAAAATCTCTTCAAATGCTCTGGTAAGACCTTGACAAATTGACCATTTACGTAACCAATACTTTTTGGCGCCCTTTTTGTAAAGTAATGGACTTTTGATCAGTTTTTTGGCCTAAGTCCGTGGCTTGCACATTTACTTGCCATAAACATCCACCATTCTGCAAAAAGTGGAAGTACGGACCCAATTTTGTGGGCCAACATCCGTTTGACGCGCAGTTTCTAAGAGACCCACTCCACGAATCTGCTTGTGCTTTTGCGTGTTGGACTTTCATGCCAGTAGCAAGTGCTATGCAAAATTTGAGCTCAGGGCATTGTCTGGAACACGCTCTACGAATATCGTGACAGACAGACATTCAGACAGACACAAACAAAAAAACGTAAACACTCTTAGCGCGTTATTATAGTAGGATTCCTGAACGTGTCAATATTCCTCTCACAATTCGACAGCTGGCAGCATTTTTTATCTGAATCAAAATCACAATGGCTGCTTAGGCACGCGCTTTATGTAAATCAGATTCGATATTGCATCTTCCTAAAAAAATCATCGCATTTATCTTTGTGTCGAAATATGTTGCGTCATTACTAAAAAAATTTTGTGATCTATCCTAAGAATGATTTGATTCTTTGCAGGACACCAACGTCATAAAAATGCTCGACCTACCCGATGCTGAAGAATGTGAGTTTTTTGTTATTTCAAAAAAAAAAAGATTATTTTGATTCGTCTGCACTCTTCTGGAATTCGTTCTGAAAGCAGATAGAAGCCAAACATCAGTATAAGTTATAGTTTCACAGTAATATTATGACCTGTGAACATTTTCATTGATCAAAATGGGAAAGCAAGATAGAGGAAAAAGGAAAACGCAATTTAATTTAACGGTGTTTTTTTTGCATAAGTTCTGTAAAAAACAGGTTGATTAATCTCTTTTGCTTCTTCATCATTTATTTCGTCTTTTTTAGACCTTATTATCTTCCCTTTCAACGGTCTACTCCCATTAAGCAAATAGTAGGTAATACCCTCAGTCTTTTTCCCTAATTCTGAAGAAGTTTACTCTTTTTGAATTGGGGTGAAAGACTGGATCGAAAAATCTCTAGAATGGTCACTCTGCTGCGCATATACTGCGAAAACTATAGGTAATTACGTAAATGTCACTGGCCGATTTACGCCGAATTTCTCAATGGTTAACGCCCATTTAAAATCATAGCATAGCCTGTTTCCCTTGTTGTTAACGCTTTTAAAGAACTTATTCCAATTTTCAAGCCTTATGAAAGATAATGTGATTATTCTGCGATGAAAATATGCGCATATTCCTTTTTCTGACTGAACAATGCTCTTGAGCAGCCGCACGGTTTTTGTGTTTACAACAATTTTTCTTCTTTAAATGCTGAGCGAATGATCGAATTTGTAATCGCTTAATGAAAAATCCTTTTTTCCATTATTTGCACAGAATTCTCTGAAGAAAGATATCATGTCCAACCGCGCAAATGTCAATTCTAATCTTTTACATCGTTGTGATTGCCGGTTCTTTTCGATTTGGAAGATGTGCTCGATGCTCTTGTTCATTTTTTCTACTTACACTCCTTAATTTAAACAAAATGTGGAAAGATCATAACACTAGCAAAATCTGTTTTTTCTCCTGTCTTCTTCCGCCTTATTTCGCAAATCATGTGTTATCGAAAAAAGCTTTCAATTATGATGCCAAAGAATTCAAGAAATGAAAACGGAAACCGGAAGCATATGCATTTGGAGTCTTCTAAGACTTGCGACACCGGTTTGCCTAGGGCTATCTGAATTTTTTAGAAGAATTCTATGACCATGTTATTTTAAATTTTAGAATGCTCATCCTTAAATAAGTTCAGATTGAGTGCGTTTTTTACTGCTATTTGGAGAGTAGGGGACTATATATCGCCGTAAGTAGGAGGTCTCGCCGGACATCTGCCACAAATACACATTTTAACACATGCACAGGCTAAGTATCTGCTGCATTGTTCGCGCGGAACCCTCCCAATTTCGGCGACATGTAAGTCCTCTATTCCTGTTTTGAAGGTAGGGTTTTCAGTAAAAACTCAGGACAATTCAGGTCGACTGTCAGAGACACATTATTATAAGAAAACTCAAAAGGAACTTAGTACTGGTACCAAAATCAGAAAACTTTTGAGCTATAGCTTCACTTGGTGCAAAACTTTTCGATGAGCTTATAGCTAATGTAGGTGAGAAACAAAGAAAAGAAAATTTGCATGGTAGAATTATGAGCTAATTTCGACTGGTTATATTTTATCAGTCTTGCTGCATTTGTGTTTTTTAACTGATAATTTTCTCGTAGATCATATTAACAGCTTTACTTAAAGTAAACGCGAATGTAGGTTGACTCCGAAAAAAGAAACCACATCCTTCGCTCAATGAAGATTTTTCCCAACCATAACTCCCTCCTGTATAAGTTTGTTTGCAAACTTACCAAAAACTTTCGTTGATGTGAACATTTCCTTGAAAATTGAGAACTGATCTTTGGTGCCTCTTCCAAGTATCACAATATTACCAGTCTTCGGTATCTCTTGGGAGAATGTAAATATCGGGTTTAAATAATGTGGCGTTTAGTTTTCCCAAATGGCCAAAAATTCGTGTTCAAAATCATTTTTCACCAATCTGAGCCCTTTTGCTTTGTAAAAGGTCCATTTTCAGCAATGTTTACATAAGTTGCATGTCATAATGGAAACAAAACCACAGCAAACCTCTTCTCGCGCAAGAAGCGGCAAAAAACAAAAGTGCAATTTGCCTTTTCGTCCTTGATTCTTCAACCAGAGCTCGTCTTTCACTGACGATTTCAACGACCGACCACCACTAAAATCGTTTTCAATCGTTTTCCTCTTGTCGTCGCCGTCGTCACCTAATCGCTGCCGCTCGATCAAGTCCAATTCGACAATTTTGTGCTTTCGCTTTTCGCTAGCTGCTAACGCCGATGGCTATTTCTGATTCTGGTCTCGCCCCTCTTTCAGCGAATTCCACCCACGCTTCCTTATTCAAGCACTTATAAGGGTGTAAACACTCCTATGCTCCAGAATATTGCACTTGAGTTCTCGATATAGCCTTATTTAGCGATTACGAATTTGTTATTCTGCTAGTTTCTTCCACGCAATAATTCTTTTCACGTGAAATTCACAAATGTATTCCTTCAATCTGCAATAACTATTTTAGAGGGCTTGGAGCAGAAAAGATATAACGTTGAATGACTAGCAGGAGTTCTGAACTGTTTCTAAATATTGTGCTTAAAATTGTTGGAAGCTAAGATATGATGGTGTTTTCGTCATCCCCAGAATTATTTGGGCAGCTAAAGATTCACTACCTCCTATGGGTCTAGGCTTCTGAAAATTTGTAATTTTTTCTTGGCAAATGTAATAGCTGTGATAAGGCTGTCAGCTTAAAAAAATATCGTTAGTTATGGCAATATTCATAAAGTTTAGTGGGCCACTTCCATTGAAGTGGAGTTGCGAAATTCTTGAAGAAGGTCCATGGACATGTTTTTATAATGAAGTCATTTGACTTTTTTCATTTTGAATGATCGAAAATTATTTTTGTAGTCTTACCAAATTTTGATTAGCTCAGTAAAAAATTCGAGACTATCTTCGGTTTGTAAACTCACTAGAAGTTTGGAAAACCCGAAACATTTTTTTGGAACGCGTGGCCAAGTTGCTCCCCTCTTCCCAAATTCTGGGATCATCGTGCGAGTTACGCATAATTTGAACTGGATCCGTATTAACTGAAATAAACCCCTTCACAAGTGAAACTGCTAAAGGCTGGTCTTAAGGTCATCTTAAGATTCAGATTTCTCCCATTTCCCTTTTTTCGGGTTATGTGCTATGTAAATGATTAGTCAGCAACTCAGTCATTCGTAGACTAAATGCAGTTTTTCTCCCTGTAAACTGAGTTGACACATCTTGAACAACTCCACTAAGATTTTCCTTTTCCTAAAAAAACTTCAGCGAATTTCTCAAGCATTTTCGCTGTCCAAAATCACCTGACGTGTTCTTCAGCAAATAAACGATCTCTTCCACGGGCGAACGTATTGTCCGGTCGTCAGGCGATGATATCATCCAGCAAAATGTTTACATTAAGATTCCGACAGCAGGCGCTATGGTCTAATGCTTGCGCGCGCTTTCTTCGATTTTCAAGGTTTTTGATCGTACCAGATAAAGACTTGTCTTGGCCAATCACATGGTTACTATTTTCTGGAAAGATTTTTCTGCCAAAATTTATCGCACAATGTTATCGAAAAGGTTGTGTTATTCACTCACCTGAAGGCTAAATTTACCTTCATGATACAGTAATCCTGCATGGTTCTGGCTTCATAAATTATTATTCTGGTATATTTTGATCCCGATCCTTCCATGCGGCATATCGCGGTTTTGTATGACGTCAGCAATGCAGATTAAGAAAGAATATCGTCCAAGTTGTTTTTCAAGCAAATATACTAGGGGATTATCTTTCACTTTCAATCTTCCAATCCCCCTATCGTCGTTTCATCCCTCCGCTTCTATCCACTATCCACCCCATTTTCTTTGGAGGGAGCTCCAGCCTCTATTTATCTTGAATATCGGATATAAAGACCACAAATATTGGATTCCTGAAATAATGAAATGAATTCTCGCTTACTTGCCGAATGAAACTTTAAAAATGCAAAATTTCGAGATTGAGCACTTGTTTGAACACTTACTATCAGCGCCGGCACATGTGGCTTTTGGAAATGCAAAAAAAACGAAAGTCCCTTTGACTTTCGCGAATTTTTACGAAATCCCTCTGACACTGAACCCTAAACATAGAAAAACCTCAGAGAACCACACGTCAACTAAAACCTCGCATTTTGTGTCTTTTAACCCTCAAAAGCGATACCACCTTTGCTTTTTGTGGCAAAATTTAAATCCAGCTTGCTTACAAGCCAGCTGTGCCGAGCCTTGCTTACAATTTCATTTTGAGGGGCTAATTTCTTATTTTTCTATCCCCCCCCTCAAAGCAACTTTTAGTTCCCAAATTTCCTAAAAAATTCATAACATGTGGTCATGTGCCCTAGGTGAAAGTATAACAACACTTATACACTCAGCAGAAGGACAACACTTGAGTGGAAGTGTTCCTGTGGTCATGTAACTATTATAGAAACTGGATCAGGACAAGAAGGGCAAAAAGTGTTACAGAAGATGGGGTAGAAATTGCATGTTTTGGTAGATTTCGTTCCAGAAAAAACCTTTCAAAAACAGCGTTTAGCTTTAGTCTTTTGACCTAGCCATCCCTTCAGTCATAGTTGCTTTTCAAAATTTGGTAGAAGTTTTCTTATGCTTATTCGTTTATATTTTCTTACATACTCTACGTGTTGCTTGAGGAGAATCTCTTGAACTTTGCATGCATTTACTTATTTACTTATATAACTACCATGGCGAACCCCCTTCCCTGAGAATGGGTCGCGAAATTTTGAAATTTATATACGTGGGCTATAAAAATGTGCAAATGGCTTGTTTATCTTTGTAAACAATAGAAATAATTTTTTAAATTTTCTCAAAAATCCAAATTACCTTTATAAAGAAATTTCTTTCGTTGAGAAGCACCCATAAAAATTTTTCGGATTGCGTGGCTGACGCTTTCATTTGAGAAAATTTTTTGTCCCCCCCCCCCCCCGGCGGAAATCCTGGGAC